TATACGGTTTAAACACATGAACTCACAAATGTATTAAAATTACTATAGCATAAGGGTACCCATAGAGACAGAGGAATGTCAACTGACCACAGTCATATTGAGAAGTGATAATCTATACAACCTATAAAGGCAGCCCCCCGGTCAGCCAATTGACTGAAATGAATTTCCCAGACAAAATAATTCTTTCCATATCTGTCCTGAAGTACCACTAACTGGTATATCCAAAACAGGTAGCTAAACTACGCTACTGAAACACTGATGTTGATTTACTAAAACTGGAGAGGACAAAATCTGGTGCAGCTGTGCATGGTAGCCAATTAGATTCTAATAACTTCAGCTTGTTCAATTAAAGCGGAGATCCACTCCAACTGTAAAAAAAAAAAAAATAAAAGTCAGCAGCTACAAAAACTGTAGCTGCTGACTTTTTTAAAACAGCCACTCACCTGTCCCTTGGTCCAGCAATGTCCTCCCTGCAGCCCGTTTCACAAGCCATCTGGTTTTCCTGGCGCCAGCATCTGCAGTGTGGGCACCTGGCTGTGATAGCTTGCTGCTTCACAGCCGGGTGCCCACTTGGCATGCACAAACAGCACTGCTTTTCCTGAATGGCCCCGTAGTCTTCTGGGACCTGTCATGTATCTCAGAAGACTACGGGGGAGGGTGGGTAAGAGGACAACTTCCGCTTCCGATCATCTAGGGTTCCCGCGCCCCTCCTCCACTCCCCAAAGGTGCCCATCCTTAATGGGGAGCGGGGGACCAGTCTTTAAAGCGGAACTTCCCCTTTTGGGTGGAGCTCCGCTTTAAACTTTGACCAAAAAACAAAAACAAACACTAGAAGCGGATTGGCTACCATATACATCTGTACCTGATTTTGCACTCTCCAGTTTTGGTAAATCAACCCCTATCTTTTCATGTGTGGTTACTAGCAAAGCAAGTTTTGTGGAGTACAGTAAGGAAAGGCTTGGAAACAACATACAGAATAGTTATGTGGTGGTCAGATCTTCAAACTGCTATCCCATAGCAGTGACTTGTCAATTGACAAACATATATCCTTAAGTCTGGCCATTGACTGTCAACCAACAAGGAACTACCGATTAGCTATCATGACAGGTTGACTAACCTAACTATTGTTCCTGCCTGTAATAAGCGACGCCAGCGGTATTTGCCAGCGTGGACTATTCTCCCTCCATTGCCCAAATAAGAGTCTTTGGCCAAGCTAAACATTCCTGTCTAGCACTAAACATCGAGAGGGCCTAAGGGCAGTTAGTTCACAACAGTACAGGCACACTCCAATCATTACAGGAACAGGATGATCTAATCTTTTTTTCAAGCTGAATAAGGTTCCTTCCTCTTCGTATGGCTGGTCTAACCCAGAGCAGCCAGAAATTATTAGCTTTTATAGCTGGCAAGTATTCCAAACTATGAAACATAATGTCAGATGTCTAAGGATTACTGCTCTTTGCAGTGCAAGACTTGTCCCCAAGTGGTATTCTGTAAAGTGAAAGACAAGTATGTAAGAAGAGGTGCACATTCATCTGCTATATACTTAAAGGATGTCACAAGGTGTCGTTGTCCTTTAATTGTTTTCTCTATCCCCGAGTGGCAGCTACCTACCAAAACCAAAACACAAACTTTTAGCTGTGTTCCTGGCTTCTTCACCACGTGGCCAAGCCCAGAACCACACTTACCTTGCAGGAAAAGTCATGTCTATAATCCTACTGCACAGCCCTCAACCCTTTTCCTTCTCTGCTGTAAGGCCAGGGTCTACCATGAGTAATGGCCATCCTATAGCAATTAATGTGCCACTGACACTATACTAAGTGACACTATAATTGAAGTTTTTCTATAATGTGACCATGTCACCAGGGTGACAGCAGCCTATAAGCAGCATTTCAAGACACAGGGCAAATTTAAGTATAGATATGGGGGAAGCAAAGTGGCTTAAAAGAGGTAGGGCCGAAGCTCTTTTGGCTATAAATTTCCTGTGGGTCACAGGCATACTCTTAGATCTGCACTCCTGTAACATGTATTCAGCTGACAGCAGGCTAAAGTCTGCTGTTGGATGAGGTCACTCAGCTGGTCCAGGCTCTGTAGGTATCCCAACATTGGGATCCACCCAGATGCCTGAGAGGCAGTTTGCACAGCCTCTCAGCATAGATCCTGATCCATCCATTCCCGCCCTCTCCACAACCTGGTACTCTAGTGAGCACTAAAAGACAGAGCAGAGAGCCAGTGACTAAGACCAAGAACTGAGTGATCAGTGGTCTGATCTTAGCGGCGGGGGACAATGTTGCATCCACCTGAGTATGTATGTTTGTTTTTAATTCCACACTTCTTTTAAATGGTTAGCACTTCTGCCATTCACCATGATCTTTGAGCGCCAGTCAGGAGAGAAAAGAGCTATAGAACTAAAAAAAAAATAATAATAGTAGAATGAATAGGTGGCCTCTTTTAAAGGACTGGCTTTCATTTATAAGTCACCCTGTGGTAGCAGGGTCATTTTGAAGAAAATCCCTTCCTGGAAACAACATGAAGGCTAAAATTGCTACTTCCCATTCTGCAAATATTATATTGCTGGCAGTCATGTTTGCCCTCAATATTTTGTGCCTTTTACCCTAAACAAGTAAAGACAGTAATGGTTTCTATTTTTCTCAATATATGCTTGTTTCAGGTCAGATTCTCAATCCTTATTAGAAATTTAGGTATGTAAGCAAGCCCACTTTGATTGGCTATATTCTAGCTCCCACGCTCACCTTTAGGACTTCCTCAATTGTCCACCTTTAAGTGATCCCTGAAAACGTATCTCTTCAGGGAATATACTAAAACCTTTAAAATAAAATTCTGGGATAACCCTAACTACTCTTAAAATGGTCCCCTCCTCCCTCCTAACACCTATGCAAGAAAGATGTGTACACTTACCCATTTTCAGGCCTCTCCAGTCTGGTCATGTGATCTCCCCTGTGTCAGCCAGAGGCAGCTGCAGGGGAGAGGAGAGAGCACTCTGAGAACAGCTAGTAAAGCCCAGAGTGGTGACCTCACCCATAGGATTCAGCGGCCCATCTATTGTTGGTGCTCCCTCTCTCACTTGCAGCGGTGTTGATTGACACAGGGGAGCAGGATCACCTGGCCGAACTGCAGCGACCTGAAAATAGGCAAGTGTATACATCTTTCTTACACAAGCTAGTAAGCATAAGTGTCAGGAAGGGAGAAGGGACAGTTTTAAGAGTTATACCGAACATATATGATTTTAATCTTGGCCGGTTCAACAGGATAACAATAGGACAAGAAGAAGATTCAAACCATGTATGGGCAGGCTGAATGTACCCAAATTGATTGTTCGATTAATCTGGATACAATCAGCCTGCTGGATTTTTCATGCAATTATTGCTACAGGCTGTTCTAGCCGCTAGCAATATTCACTGTGTTCTCCCAGCGGGGACAGCTTCCCTCACTGGGAGAATACAATGGCTCGGCTAGAGGGATTCCCCTGTCAACACTATGTGTTGATGGGGCAATTAGGTGAATTTCTTTCCTGCAACCCGTGGTTGCAGGAAAGAAATTTGCACCGTCTATACCCTGTCTTAGAGTTCTCTCGGAATTACACTTTAACTTTCTCCAGTAACTCATCCCCAAACAGTCACTACTTTTTGTATCACTGGGCCCTCCCTTTTCGATTGTTAGCGGTCATGAGCAGGACCCTTCTAACCCTCTTGTATTGTAGCCATATGGTCTCTATATATTAAAGCACTGTGCAAACTGCCAGCACTATATAAATCCTGTATGAAAATTAGTATTTAGAAGGGATTTAGTATAAGTATTTAAAAGTATCAGAAGGGAGAGATCACTGGAGAAGGAAATAATGTTTGGGAAGACGGAAGAAACCAGGCGAAGAAAGATGACTACTAAGGAGGTTGAACACATTGACTACAGCAGCCTGTCTCAACCAGGGTGCCCTGGGGTTTCTTCAGGGCTGCCTTGGCAGAATGTCTAATAATTGCCCAAAACGTGTATACATGCCAACAGGTGGAACAAGCCTGCCTTTTAGTTACACAAAGTCACAGGTTTTCATTGTGCACCATTACAACCTTTTAACCGCCGGCATCCTGACAACCAATAACATCATCAGTTGATAAGGAGGATGTCAGCTGCCTGCACAGCATCCTAGTTTGACCCTCTCCTGTCCCCTCTCCATCAGTGCTGGGGTCACAATAGCTCACTGATGGAGAAAAACCGAGAGAAGAGAAACAATGGAATACCAGCCAGTGGCATTGTGCAAAAGTATATTTGCTTTGGAAACATACATCACCTCCAATGTCGGGTCTCCTACATGTGTGGATGTTGCTGCGTTATATAAAACTATTATTTTCTCACATTTTAGAATGGGGTGCCCTTTTAAAATTATGGTCTTGAGATAGGGTGCCTCAAGACTGTCCAAGTTTTAAAACGATGCCTTGGGACTGTCCATAATTTTAAAGGGTGCCATGCCTGCAAAAAGGTTGAGAAACACTGGACTACAGCTTTGGGGATGACACTGTAGGGTCTCACAAGACTAGCACAAAGCAGACTTCTTTTTAGAACTGGTATTCATCAAGTCGCTGGAATTGGAGCTGATGACACCTAATAATCATTTGGCCAATAGCTGCAGTCCACATTGTCTTGGAATACCCAATGTCTTCAGCTAATTTTACAGGTCTTTGTAGTTTGTTCTGCATCAAACCTGTGACTCGTCCTCTACTTCTATTAGGTTGGGTGGAAGATGTAAAGATGTATGTTCTTTGCTTTTCTCTTTTGCTCAGTACAGAGTCAGACCCAATCTGACATCTCTTGGTTGAGACAGTTGTATCATTTCCACGATCTATCAGCTCAGAGAATACAATCTAACATTGTGAAACATTGTAGCCAGCTATGGTGAAGGTGAATGTCAGTGCTGGGAATCGCTGACACTTCCCAGGCAGGCGGTCAGCAATCTCTCACTAGCTGGGGTTTATTTCTGGCCGGCTTACCTGGAGCTGGGAGTTGTGCTCCGTTAGGTTGGTGTTGTAGGTCCAGCTGGCTTCCACGCTCTTGTAGAAGATCTGTTCGGCTGTGCTGTTGAAGTCACTGGCAAATCGCTGTGCCTCCGCTTCTGTGGACCCATAATTGCCGGGCAGGTAGATGCTGTCCAGGGCTAGAGTGCTCCCCAGCAGGAGCAGCCCCAGGAGGACAGTCCGGACCATTCTCAGCGCTCTGGCCAGCAGGTGCTCCCCCGGTTCACCTTCGTCCCCCTCCCCCTGTAGTGAGAGAGTCACGGTGCAAGGTCTTTATATCAATACAAAAAAGGGAGAAAGCCAGCCCTCTGGTGCTACCTCCTCATAGAGATAAGACACGGGCTGTCCCTCTCCATGCTAGAGCAATGGCACTGATCACAGGAATCCAAAGTCCTTCTAACAACCATCCACCTTCTGACAGCTGCTGCCTCTCTCTCTTCCTTCTCAGCACCACATCCAACAGCATCTCAACTCCTTGCCTGTAATCCCATGGTCTGCCGGAGAGAGAAGACAGTACACACTCAGTGCACTTCCAGCATAGCCCCCAGTCTATCTGCACTGCCCTCTGCCACACAGCAGTGTATTGGTGTATGCTCTGCCCTTCTTCATAGCCCCTCTATACTCTTCCATGCACTGTGCCCTATACACTGCATACACAGCCATGCACTTGCTGTACTGTTGTGTCACACTGTACATATTGCCCTCTACAGGAAACTGCACTGTATCAACTACCCTTTAACAGTGCACAGCCAGTGCATACAGTGCCCTTTCCAAATATATAGTCCACAGGCTGCATTGTAAACATGTCTTGGTGCTATATTGCACTGTCCTCCCCCATATGACAGCCTAAATGTGCTGCACAGTCTTTAAAGGGTAACTCCACTTTCATTGGAAAAAATAATTGCAAGTAAAATTTTTTTTATATATATACATACATACACATATACACATATACATACACACACACATATACACACACACACACACATATACACCAGGGGCGGACTAACAACTCATGGGGCCCCTGTGTCCTCACCTACACCCCAAAAAAAAGCTATGAAAGGTACCAGGGGCATCTCATGGGGCCCCCCTACTGACCCTGGGCAGTATATACACACACATACATATACACACAATTGTAATTTCTTCTAAAAAAACAAAAAAAAAAAAAAACCAAAACACATTTTCCTTAATCTGCAGTACTGTAGTTTTCTGCAAAATTCAAGGCAATATTTCAACCTGGAGGCGTTCTGTACACAGGTGGAGTAAATATGGAACATCCCCAGAGATGTAATTTCCTGAAATTGGTTCACTGAATTACACAGAAGTCTGCACTAAAATGCAAGTCAGATTTTAGGCATCCTCTGCAACAAAAGTTTAGTTTTGGTGAGATGCTGCGAAAAGTTCATTTCTAAAAAGGAATGCAGACACTGCCACTCTGCTCAGAGTGCTGAAAGTGCATCAGCTGATAAAAAAAAAAAAAAAAAAGAAAAAAAAGTTGCACCTTTTCAGATTCAAACCTGCACAAAACATGATCAAACAAAGAGATATTCCTTCAGAGCAGAAACAGGAAGGGATCTGAAAAATTTTGTTAAAATCTTTGTAAATTTACATTGATCACCCAGAGAGGTTTTGTTTTTCTTCAATAAAAGTGGAGTTATTCTTTAAAGTTGAACATCTGGAAAATGGAACAAAAACATTTAATACAGTTGTATATTCCTTTAAGAAAGCATTTATTTTGACATACATAAAACCAATATTAATCTGGTCACATGCTGTAATATTTCTTTTGTTCAGCCCTATGTGCAACAAGAGAATCTATTGTTTCCCCCATGGATGCAGGTATCTCCCCTGCCATTATTGTATTTAGAGGATGGAGATTATTTCTAAGCAAGTCTGGAAACATGTAATGTTTTTCTATGTCTGAATGCACACCTAGATGTTTAGTAGCATCTAGGTCAACCATTCTCAACAAGAGTTCCTCCATAGGTTGCTTTAGCTGTGTGTGATCGACTTTCCATGCAATGGTGTTTCCATAGTTCTAGGGCTACCACCACTTGCTAGAAACAGCAGCCTAAAACAAATTATCTTTATTTAATTGCTTAAAAGGGTGGCAGTCTGACAACCACTGGGGTTCCCTGACAACTGAAAAAATTTATTTCAAGGTTCCTTCAGAGTGGGGGAAAAAAAAAAAAAAAAAAATATGGGAGAGTCTGGTCTGGGTGTATTCAGTCTACCTGCGTTTACACACACAAAAAAAAATATTATATATATATATATTTATTAGGGTCCCAGGACCCTTTAGCCTGGTCTTATGCAGCTAAAATGCGCATAAGCACATGGAAATTTAGAGTGCATTCAGCTATAGAAAAACATTACATGCTTCCATATCAATCAAATTAGATCCATAATGCATCTGGATGCATGTATTTTGAAGTTTGTTTGTGAGTGAGGCCTAATTAACAGAGAATGTGGTGTCACCCTCACTGCCTTGTTGTCTGGTAGAATTATTTATATTATAAAAAGGGGTTTGGCAAATTTAGTAAAAAGGTTCTAACATCTTCAAAACCAAAGGAGTGAGATGTGACAAGGGCTAGGATACAAAATATATTCACAAAAAGATCTTTTCTACATGTTAGAAAAAGTATATGCTACTGGGTTTGCTTTTCATTTGTAATACTTTGGGGTCTTTTCATAAACATTTTCACACAATATTCCCACAGCTTTTACCAAAGAGCTACACATCTAATTTTATTCAACTGGAAAACTGACTCCTGGGTGCAGGTTTTATAGATCTTAGGCTGCATTCTCACTAATATGTTTTTGTTGCGTTCTTCAGTTTAAAAAGTGGAAGAAAACTGCATCCTTTTAAATCCTTATTCCTTGATTTATTGATGTTCCAAAAGGAAAGAACCTAAAAATCATAAATTAAAGATATTTTGCTTGCAAGTTCTATTGTTGTAGACATGTTAATCACGATCATAAAACAATGAGATAACACCTTTACATTAACAAACATGGTTATTAGACTAATGCAGTGTTTCTCAACTCCAGTCCTCATGGACCCCCAACAGGTCATGTTTTCAGGATTTCCCTCAGATGAAACAGCTGTGGTAATTACTAAGCAGTGAGTGAAACTGATCAAATCACCTGTGCAAAATAATGGAAATCCTGAAAACATGACCTGTTGGGGATCCATGAGGACTGGAGTTGAGAAACACTGGACTAATGCAACATCAGTGATTCTGCTACTGACAACGCATCGCAAGCACCAAAATCACAAAAGCAGTCTTCCACTTACCTTAATGGAATCGCATTAAGGAAGCAATGCCTTTCTTGTCCCTCAACTCCATAACAACAGGTATTGTTATTTGTGACATGGAGCATGGTCAAATCAAAATGGTAATGGTCATAGGACTTGTCAATGGTAATTAGATGTGTTCCTTTAGAGTGGTGTATAGTGTATACATGGCATGACAAATTTAAGTATCAAGGTGTCAGTGTAATGAGCTCCATTAATTAAACCTCTGTGTAGTATGATAATACATTTATCAGTACGACTAAGAAACTTGGTGTGGCCTATCTCTTTTGTAGAATACCAAAACAATCCTTTTTTCACAATATGTCTTATTAACTTTGCACTATACCACATCCCCAACAGAAGGGCAAGATGGGGATAATTTATCTCAAGCAATTTTTTCCAGATAAATACCCACTTGTTCTTGTCAATGGGCAACATTGAGAGGGTTTTAAAAAAAAAAAAAAAAAAAAAAAAAAAAGCAGAATAATATTGGCCATTATAACTAGTTGAAACATGCTTTAGTTTTTGAGTGGGTTTTTTTTTTTTTTTTTTTTTTTTTTTTTTTTTTTTTAGAGCATATGGCACATATTACGGTTATGTGCTCATATACAACATAATTGCAGAGGTTTACTTCCAATGTCAATTGTAGATTTGCAGTACAGCTTTTAAAGGGATCATGCTGGGAGAAATACTTTGCGACTGATGGCCTCATTCTAAAAATTCTAATCACCTAGCCATCTCTGGCTTCAATCCTTTTGTTTAGGGACTCTGTCATTGGAGAGTAATGGTGGCTGCCAATGCTGAACCTTTCTTATGAGAATGCTAGTTCCCTGACGGTTATATTTTGGCATCCTTGTCCTTCAGAACTGAGGAATCCAGCCCCCATCAACTCTTCTCTACCTTCAACTCTCTACTGCCTAGGAGATTGCCAATCACTCCAAATAAGATTGATACAATTTGTGATGAAATATCCACTATACAGATATCTCCCCTACTTAACAACCCATGTCCACAGGTACAATCAATACCCCCCCCCCCCCATTACTATAGATGAGATTGCTAAACATTTTTCTAACTTCCACCTAACCACTTGCCCTCTAGACCCTGTACCCTTGCAAATGCTACGGTCACCCTCTATCTCTATCCTACACATTAATTCACATCTTCAATCTCTCTCGCCTGGCATCTTTCCCAATTTTCTAAAACATACATTAGCCACCTCCATACTTAAAAAGCCTTCCTTGGACCCCACCAATCCTCATGACCTATGCCCCATTTCCTTTCTCCCCTTTTCTTCCAAACTCCTTGAATGTCTGATCTACAATTGACTGAATGACCATCTTACTGAGAATAACCTTCTTGATCCCCTTCAGTCTGGATTTCACCCTCAACACTCCTTGGAAATTGCTCTCCTAAAACTCACAATCTACAGTACTAACGGCTAAAAACCAATGGACACTATGTTGTACTCCTACTTCTGGACCTCTCTGCTACCTTTAAAACAGTGGACCACTCCCTCCTCCTCTGGTTTTTGTGACTGTACTCCACTGCTTCTCTTCCTACCTATCCCACAGCACCTTCACTGTCACTTACAAATTTACTTCCTCTTCTTTTGTACATTGGGGATCCACAAGGTTCTGTTCTTGGACCTCTCCTATTCTCTATCTACACCTCCTCCCTGGGTCAGTTAATAGCCTCCCATGGCTTTCAATATCATTTGTACGCTGATGACACCCAAATCTATCTAACCCTCAGCTCACTCCATCAGTCTCCAGATCACTAATTTACTGATAGACATATCAGACTGGATGTCACACCACTTCCTCAAACTCAATTTACCCAAAAATTAGCTCATATTTCCTCCCCCATGTGCCCCTTCTCCTAACTT